GTGTGTGTGTGTGTGTGTGTGTGTGTGTGTGTGTGTGTGTGTGTGTGTGACTTCACAAGGCTATAAATTCATCTTCTCCCTTTCCTTTCACTCAACTGGCTGGGTTCAGAGCCCCCAGGACAGAGCAATGGCCACGATCTCCAGGGTCACCTGCCTGCTCCAGTCACAACCAACCCTTCCTTACTCCTGCCTCTCCACACAATGCCCTCCGTTTAGATCATGGCCAAGTCCAAGATCCTCACCACAACCTGCAGGGTCCGGGGACCCTGATTTCTCACTAGCTCCCAGAAGACTAAAGTCACCTGCCAAGTACCAAAGGTGCAGTGCTCCCCAACTCCTTTCCAGAGTCCTTTCACAAGGTATTTTCTCGGTTCAAACAAGCAACCCTAGACCCTCTGCAGCCCCAGAAAACTCCTTCTCATCCTTCTAGAATCTAGACCAGTGGTTCTCAAGCCCAGGTGACTCTGCCCTTCAAGGGACATTTGGCAAAGTCTGGAGACATTTTTGGTTGTCACAACTGGAGGGTGGGGGGCAGGGTGGGAGGAAGCTGCTGACATCCAATGGGTAGAGCCCAGGGCTGCCACTAAATGCCCTACAATGCACAGGACGCTCCCACAACAAAGAATTATCCATCCCAAAATGTCACTGGTGAAAGCGGACATGCCCTGATTAGATTAAAACTAGAGCATCCCGTTTTCAGTGAAACTGGCCTGCCCTAATACCCCCACATTTATCTCACTGTGTGATAAGCTCTGATTTACTTGTCTGTCTGCTCCATTAAATTTTAATTGCTTAAAATACACAGACCATCTTTTCATCTGTATATCCCCAGTGTGTAACAAAAGAGTCACTGTTTTGTAATTAAATTTTAAGTAACATATTTAATAATGAATGAACAAAAAAGGACGGAAAGAAAGAAGCACTTAATCTCTTGACTCTACCACAAAAATCCTTTTAAAAAATCACACAAACAATACCTGTATACTCCTAAAAACATTAGGAAATACGGAGAAGCAAGAAGAAAAAAGAATAAAACTGATTTTTCGAATAGGCAGAGGCACCATTTAGAGAGAGAAGAGAGAGGGGCGCTTGGGTGGCTCAGTCGGTTAAGCGTCGGACTCTTGATTTCAGTTCAGGTCATGATCTCAGGTGGTGAGGTCAAGCCATGCATCAGGCTTGTGCTCAGTGTGGAGCCTGCTTTCCCTCTCCCTCTGTTCCCTCCTCCCTATGCTTTCTCTCTCTAATAAATCTCTCAAAAAAAAAAAAGAAAAGAAAAGAAAAGAAGAAGAAGAGAGAAACCTCCTCACGGTGAATTTGAGGACGGTGGCACTAGCGTTTTTGCAGAACAAATCCTGACGTGTACTTGGTACTTACTTAAGAACAGCAATCTCTTGAACGGTTATGGCCCTTTTATCTTTGGTTCCCATGTAGGAGAATATGTTTGGTTTGACTCTGGTAAGACAAAAACAAAACCATATGAAGTTGCACATCATTAGAAAATCGTATTTCTCATGATTTAAGACACAAAGTAAATAAAATGGGACCAGAATAGGAGAAGAGTAAGGAGAAACTTGATTTTAAAATGTGCCCGGGGGCGGCGCCTGGGTGGCTCAGGGGGTTAATAGCCTCTGCCTTCGGCTCAGGTCATGATCTCGGGGTCCTGGGACCGAGCCCCGCATCAGGCTCTCTGCTCGGATGGAAGCCTGCTTCCCCCTCTCTCTCTGCCTGCCTCTCTGCCTACTTGTCATCTCTCTCTCTCTGTCAAATAAACAAATACATCTTTAAAAGATACAAAAATAAAATGTACCCAGGAAACAGTATGCAAGCTAAGGAAGTAAATGATGCCTGGACAGCAACGTTCTTAGCAGGGCTTGACTTAGAATGTTTGTGACTATGAGTGAAAAAACGTGCCATTGGAAGACTTTGCTAGCCAGTCGCCAAAAGGAAACAATGTACTTCCTATTGACCATAGGCCTTTCTTTAGATGACATGACAGTGAAGGTAAAGAGGAATTCATTCTAGATATGTAACATACTACTCTGAAAATTTTATTATCTTCAGTTTTTAAAAAGTTAATAATACAAAGTTTCCATAAATTCATGGTATTTCTTTGCATAAAAAAGCCAAACACTGTAATGGGGATCTGAATAGTTGTGATATGAAGATGTAACTAAGCTAGTTAACAATGAAGTATTTTATAGAAACTGCTCCACGTGAAAAGGAAAAGACAGGACAAACTGCTTGAATTCTGAGCGCTCTCCAACTGCCCACGCCAGAGGAAGTCCCTCCGCAATGGTGTATCCTTGCAGGCTCAGGGACAGACAGGCCCCACCGACTCTCTCCCAGAGAACCAGCAACTCAGCAACGAGAGTAAAGTAATGTCCCTTGTAGGGTACTGCACCCTCCTGGCTAGAATACGGACTTACTGGCCCTGACTCCCAGTACCTCAGAACGTAGCTGCACTTGGACAGGGCCTTTAAAGAGGTGGTTCGGTTAGAATGAGGCTGCTGGGGGGCCCTTATCTGATCTGTTCCAGCAGGAAGAGAAAATCTGGACAGACTCTGGGACACACACGAGAGAAGGTAGCCATCTATAAGCCACGGAGAGGCCTCAAGAAAAAACCCAAACCTGCCAACACCTTGATCCCAGGACCCCCAGTCTCCTGAGCTGTTACTGAAGCCCCCCAGTCTGTGACAGTTTGGTATGGTGGCCCCAGTGGACTGACATATTGTGTACCATGTTTAAACTGGGTTAAATGTGTATCAGAAAGTAAACTTCCAGTGCACACAGACTGGCTGCAGTGCCTGCATCCACAACTGAAAAACAATTCTTTGGCTCCTGGCCGATCCTCGGAGACTCAAACCTGCTCTATCTGCATTCCCAGGAGGAAATCCAACTGGTCTCAAGCGTTCGATCAAGTCCATCTCCAAGAAGTAAAGAGTTTACAGTCTAGTTAAGCAAACCCCCGCAAACACATCAAAGTGTAGGCTTTCCAGGAAGCAAGTTACTTTTTACTTTCAACTGGATGGGCTAGTATGATAACTATTTACTTATAGAATTTCCATCTTGAATCACTAGCAGTATGCACGAAGGTAAAAAAAAAAAAAAAATCAATAAATAATTCACCTACTGCCTAAGGAAACCGTAACTGGAGGGCACACTTGCTATCTGTTTGCTTATTTTCCCGCTTGTTTTTCATTAGCATTGAAAGAGGAAAATAAATTCCCGTGTTGTCATTTTGTGTCCGCACAAGATCGAGATACTAACCGTAAGTATTTGGACAGCACATTAATAGCATCCATGGTGTCTTTGTTTTCCTTGTACAGTACAAAGTGGCAGTAACTTCCCCTAGATTTTGGCCAAGAATGTTTTCTTGGATCTTAAAAACAAAAAAATTAAATGTTATACAGACCATAACAAAAGTGCTCTAAACATAAGCTTTAGCTTATGAAACCTACAAGCTCATTTTTTGCTAGAGAACCTCTGAGTGAGAAATCCGATCTAGTCTGACAAGAAATGCAGGTTAAGCAGTAACAGCTGTGTGGACTACAGGTATGACACTTCCTGTGACTGGAGACTCCACATGATCTGTCCACATTCACAATCAAAAGCTGAAAGGCAGGTTATGTGACAAATGAGTACGACTAACCAGCCATCCTCACACAGAGCAACTCCTCACACAGAGGGGTCCCCACTCCCCAGGGGCGTTTACTTCACAAACTCGTATCTTCTTGGTGGGTAACTGGCTTTCTGGAACACACGCGGTCCAGAAGGAAAGAGAACTCCCCTTGGAATCTACACGCCCTGCCTCATATCCCAAGCCGGGAGTTCACACATACATGACATCAGCAAGGATGGGGACAAAGCTTGTGAGGAGCTGCCTCAGTGACACGTTCAAACTTTCCAAAGGCCACTTCCTTCACTAAAGTTGAGTTAATCCTAGGTGGTTTACAAACACTTACCTGGCAGAGAACATGGCTAGCATTCAAAATATAATGGTCATTATTCTTGGGGAAAAGGAAATTCTAAAAATTAAGCCAGGTTAAATGTTAACTTTCAATGTGAACTTCTGAACTACAGTTACTTTGATTATTCAACTTTCTGAAAAGTGACCAATATGTCCAGGCTTTGGAAAACATTTAAAAATTTTCTTTTAGGGTGCCTGGGTGGCTCAGTGGGTTAAGCCGCTGCCTTCGGCTCAGGTCATGATCTCAGGGTCCTGGGATCGAGTCCCACATCGGGCTCTCTGCTCAGCAGGGAGCCTGCTTCCCTCTCTCTCTCTGCCTGCCTCTCTGTCTACTTGTGATCTCTGTCTGTCAAATAAATAAATAAAATCTTTAAAAATTTTCTTTTAAATGTACTATCATCAGAGACGTATTTTTAAAATATTAGGATTTAAACTCTGATTGTGAAAAATCAACATAGTTTGGGAAAAACAGGTAAGCCACAACCCCACTTCCAGACGCTGTACAATGATGTTCCCGCGTCTTGAGCAACACACAGCAGCAAATGTCATCTGCACACATTTAATTCACTTGATTTCTACAACTTTGTGAAAGAAAAACTGTGGAAAAAGTATTTCATACAATCCTTAGAGTCTTCTCCTTCTAAAAATGTTCCTTTGTCTTTGTCCCTAAAAATAATCCTTTAGGATGAACTCGTGAATCTGTCCTCTTTAGAGACGTAAGAAACTTCTGGTACTGAAGTTGCTGGTACATTCGGCTTTGTCAAGGCAAAAAGCACTCTTGGTACGTTAGTGATTTATGCTACAACGTAAACAACAAATGAATCAATGGATCATCTTGCAAAACCGCCACAGCCTGCATGCTCAGCGAACTGCTTTCCCTTTCTGATAAATGTGAAGGTGAGACTCTTCTGTCTTGGACAACAAAAATATTACAAGTATTTCTTTGGCTCTTTGTGGGAATTCCTCGCAACTCATCCTCAGGAAATTGTGAATAAGAGTATTATTTTTGGCTTTCCATCCAGCTCACCAGTTAACCAAAATTGTCTTCTACTTAGCACTTGGGAGAAAAATCATTGGCATTTCATTTTCTCTACATGAAACACCAACCGCTCTTACCTGCTGCAGTTCTGACCTCTGTCCAAATGCACAGCATAAAGAGCACAAGAGAGCAATGTTTAATTTATAATAATATTAAAGTGCTTTAGAGGTGAACATGCAAATGATCGCATGGAAATTTCCTACCAAGGACTGCTACAGTACCTGGTAGTTATGTGGTGGGTTAACAGCCATTCAGACGTTAACAATGGAATGTCACAGAGGCAAACAGTGAACGAGGAGAAAACTCACCTATAGGTACCAGCCTCCCTGTCTCAGCCTCCTCACAAGGGCAGGTCTGTTCATCCTCAGAGCTGCACTGTCCGTACCCACGGGACGCAGCGTAAGGTTTACGACTGAATACAGTATGTTGTCTACCCAACACTAGTGTTACAAGGCATGTTAACTGGAATTTAAATAAAAGCGTAAAAAAAAAAAAGACCTAATGCAAAATGCTGCCCCATCTAGAGATTCATTTTCACAAAGTGCTACTTGTGATTATCTTTTGGTGGTGAAACTGCACGTAATTATTGTTTATCTTTGTCTTTTTCCGTGCTTTTTGAGTTTCTGGCATTGAGTTATAAAGATTTTTTTATTCGATAAAGATTTGAGAAATCCTTACAGAAAACAGCTCCTGAAATGATAAATTTGAAGGGATTTAAGATGATTTTAGAGACTTCTATTTAATGCAATGTTCAGACCTTTTTTGTATCATTGTCTGACAAGTCATCTATTGTAAAAGACATATTTGAGATGATTGGGGGAAAAACTGAATGTGCACTGGGTATTGGATATTAATAAATTATTGTTCGTTATGTAGGATGTGATAATGGTTTGGGGTTTTAGTCCTTAGCTGCTAAATACACACTGAAGTATTTATGAGTGAAATGAAGTGCTGCGGAGAATTTTCTTTAGAACACTCCACAAGAAAAATGAGCAGGAGGAAAAGATCAAGCAAAAACAACAGAATGTGAACAATCTTCAAGGTGGTTGGTGGGTCCACAGTGGTTCAATATATACCACACTCTGTGCTTGTTTGAAAATATCCATAATACAAAGTCGAAAAAACCTTGTGATCAGAAATGATGTAGTGGAACTGTATGCATCCTTAATGACCCCCTCAGGACCCCTTCCCCTTCCCAATCAACTATAATGGCGAGAAATGAATGAGGCCACAAGGCTAAAAAACTTAATGCCTAAGAGAAACCATGACAACCGAGTATGAGTTTTGGCTCACAAGCATGCATCTTTTATTGGCAAATCCAAGCACTGCACATGCATACCATTATCTCCTCTGTCACTAACATACGAGGATTCTTTTTCTAGGCACACTCAGTATACAAACAGCAAGCATATGCATTAATTAACCGGGAATATTTTGAATAATGGAAAAAGCAGCAAGACTCAACTTATTCTGGGTGAATGGGACTTTCTAAAACTCCAAATCCTTGGAATGCTAAGGAGCATGTATGTAGCTTTGTAATTAAAGAGAATTAAAAATGACTTTCAGGGCACCTGGGTGGCTCAGTGGGTTAAGCCTCTGCCTTCAGCTCATGTCATGATCTCAGGGTCCTGGGATCGAGGCCCACATCGGGCTCTCTACTCAGCGGGGAGCCTGCTTTCTCCTCTCTCTCTCTATGCCTGCCTCTCTGAATACTTGTGATCTCTCTCTCTCTGTTTGAAAAAAAAAAGACTTTCAGACTCTTTTGAGACACACTGATTTAAAAGATGGAATGCAAAGAATTCTCGGACTGAGATCACAGAAAGCAACCTTCTGATGGTCTGACAGGGCAGCGCCAGTCCAGTAGAAATAGAAACCAGAGAGAAAAAGAAACCACATTCGGGAAGGGTCAGGTATGGAGTACAGAGATCCTCATGAATAAGGAAGGAAAAATGTAGCTCTAGAAAGATGACATGATGGTGTAGCATGCAGAACATTCTTTCCTTCTTATTCAAGGCCATTTCCAGGACTGCATTGCTACACACTGACCTTCCAGCTGCCTCAGGATCCTGTCCCACCCGCTATCACTCTCCTCCCAGAATTTCTGCTCACCCTCTGGCTCTTTCCCTTCAGGAGATCAAGACGCCAGGGCTCTTCCATTTTAAAAGTCAAACTTGCATCCCTCTCAACCATGCTGCTCTCCTTTCTCCTTCTCTTCACGGCTTTTTTTTTTTTTTTTTAATTTATTTATTCAAGTAATCTCTACACCCCAGGTGGGGCTCAAACTCACGCCTGCGAAATCACACCTCCGAATGAGCCAGCAGAGGGCCCCTCTTTACGGCTTATTTCAAACAGCATTCCGTACTGGTGCCTTCCAGCTCAGCCTACGGTGTCAACCGGTTCCCAACCCTATTCTACTGGAGCTTCTACGGCAAACACCCCAAAGATATCGACGTAGCTGCAAACGGACAGATCTATTTTAGAGTTCTTCTCTTGCCAGACCCATCTGTAGTATTTTCCACTGCTAATCACTTTGGTTATTGGCATTCCCTCTTCCTGTGGATTCCACAATACCAGAGAGTTTCCTTTTTATCTGTCTGGCCCCTTCTCTGGAGTCTCTGTGGACTTCTTTATCTGGGAGGGTATCCCTGCTGGGAACCATTCCTTTCAGAAAGTATACAGGAACCTCTACATATCATGTGGCAAATTTTTTTCTTATTTTTTACTTAAGTTTTTAAAAAAAGATGTTCTTAGAGGCATTTGGAATATATGATATATCTGAAAATACTGTTAGTTTACCTGACTACATGGCTTATAATAATTACATGATATTTTCAGAAAATACCGTTAGGCATGGTTTGGTAGGTGAATCAAGGTGCCCTGTCTATCAGACTGGATTCACAAACAACATAGCATCGGAGGTAAAAGAGCTGGTAATCTGTGGTGTCTTGGCACCATGATGTGGGATCCACTGTGTCTATGTTTTAGGATGCATGGCTCTAGCTGAGAAAAGTTTAGGTGAGAATATTGCCAATCTGCTCAGTAACACATATAACAATTAATATCAGGGTATGGTAGGAAAGGAGTGCTAAAAACACTATAAGCTTAGCTTTGCAATGAAGCTCTAAAAGCTAATTTATTCATATGCTAGTGAAGGTAGCTCAAAACGGTAAGTTATCATTGGTACTGGACTCTATTTGCAGGGGCATGAAGGGTGGTCTCTGGATACCAGCTTTCCCAACTTTTCCAACGGTCTTTAACTAAGGCACTCTCTCACGTGGGGAGTTGGATCTGCAAGAGATGACCACAGGCCCTCCAGTGTCTGTCTGGGGTTATGAGGAGGTGGGCGAGAATGGCTCAGACCTCTAGTCCACTTTGACCAAACGCCAAAACGACTCAAGCTCAAGAGGTTTAGAACTCTGGGGCGCCTGGGTGGCTCAGTGGGTTAAAGCCTCTGCCTTCGGCTCAGTTCATGGTCCCAGGGTCCTGGGATCGAGCCCCGCATTGGGCTCTCCGCTCGGCGGGGAGCCTGCTTCCTCCTCTCTCTCTGCCTGCCTCTGTGCCTACTTGTGATCTCTGTCAAATAAAAAAAAAAAAAAAACTCTATGCAGGTGACGATCCAATCTGACCTGCCTTCATGCTTCCTCCAGTGAGAAATTCCTATTTTACTGAAGATGTGCAAAGGAAAGAGGGAGGGTGGTTCAGGTCCTACAGAGCTCAGCATCTCACCTAAGAAATCTTAAGGAAATTTCTTATTTGGAAAAAAAGGAAGGTGGGTATGGCTTAGGCATAGAGAATGTGGCTAAAGACAGAATGTGAGAGATCTGGTGCCACTCACTTGAGGGGAAAGGGTGGGAAGACTCTCAGGGCCACCATGACGTGCAAATAAACACCCTAACACCCCTGCAGGTCACAAAGGCCAGCATCCTCTAGGAAAGAAAGATAATTTCCAAGCAGCAGCCAGTCAAAACAATCCAGGTTTTGCTAACCTGCTTCCTCATGACCACACTCAGCAGAATCAGGACCTTGCCTTTAAAAGGGAGCTGCTGGGGGCGCCTGGGTGGCTCAGTGGGTTAAGCCGCTGCCTTTGGCTCAGGTCATGATCTCAGGGTCCTGGGATCGAGTCCCGCATCGGGCTCTCTGCTCGGCAGGGAGCCTGCTTCCCTCCCTCTCTCTGCCTGCCTCTCTGTCTACTTGTGTTCTCTGTCAAATAAATAAATAAAATCTTTAAAAAAAAAAAAAGGGGGGGGCCTGCTGCCCAACATGGGAATTGCCTCTCTACAAGGAATGGCTCACTAGCAGCTGTGCTCAGCCTGGGCTCCTTGAGAGACCGGGAGTCTGAGTGCACCATGGCACCCTTTCTACATCCAGGACAGTAACCAGCCATCTGCCAATCTTGAGAGAAGGCCAAAAAAAAAAAAAAAAAAAAATCCACTCAAATCACTTTCCATTGGGATTAATACTCCTGAACAGCCCTGGCTGGAGAACCATTTTATACTGTGACTCAGACATCAGAGAAATGTGCAGCAAGCAAGACATCAGCATGTGGCTCGAGGAGTGATTAACAACCCGTGCCCTCAGCTGTTCCAGAACACACCATCTCATTTCCTTTGCAGCATCCACTGAGAAGAGGGCTCCAATGTCCACCTTCTCCTCCCACCTGCTCAAGATTTCTCATTTCTGTGTCACTATCCAGACATACTGAACCAACTACATTATTTTTTTCAGGCACAGCTGAACCTCATTTCTGTGCCCATTTTTCTTATAATGGCCTCATTTCTCTAGATTCATAGTTACAAACAATTAAGGCTTCATCCACTCACAGCATTAACCTGAGAGAAGACTGACAAAGCACCAACAGCGTGAGCAGTCATTTGTTACGCAGTCTTCGAGTTTTGCTCTGACAAATATATCCAGAAATAACTCTCCCCTAATAGAAGCCATCAAGGGTAGGGGACGAGGGTGAGGAAATATCTTTTTCCCCACTGTCATTTTCATTAGAATTTTGTCTGCTGATTTGGCAGATGACCTATTTTTTCTTAAGGATATAGAAATTTTCATGGCTATAGAAAACATATTAGACTTGTTTCAAGGGAATGATATACAACAAAAGATGAGCATGGGTAAAGGGGTGCTTTCCCATATATTCTATGTTTTTTTTTTGTATGAGTGAAAAAACTCACAGTTGGAAAGCAGCAGGCCTTCCAATATAGGGGCTTGGCAGAAAATATGCCACTGGGATTTGGGGTTCACGGAAAGCTTTCTTTTCTCCATTAAGGCACGGAATGAGCAATACCCTTCCATTTTCTTCTTGAATTACTGCTGAGCCCATTCTGCTCCTCAGGGAACGTATCAAATTCCTAGCACTGTCTCTTCGGCACCACTGTAACTACAGCAAATCGTGACTCCCAAAAGAGACCCAGTGCTCCCAACCAGACACATTCTACAGGGCTGCTCTGTGAACGTGAAAGCTATCATCCACCTTCTCTGAAAGAGTGACACGGCCAATATCCTCTCCCGCCCACCAGCCAAGTAGCCCTGAAACATGAGCGGGCCAAGAGCAAGAGGAGCAGGACGGTCCCCGACAGCACAAATGCCAGGTCACTCGCACACTTACTTGCCAGAGCCTTTTTCCCAGCTGCATGGTAGGCTACAATATATTTCTTCCCTTCTCTGTCCTCTGTTTTTGTCTCTAATCCTGGAAACAGAGATTTAATCGCTTGATGGATGACGGTTCTTTTCTCTTTGGTGTCCTCAATAACCTATTAAAAACAGAAATACCGCGACTACTGATTTAACAAACATCAAATAGAGAGATAACACTAATGAGTCAGTAAAAACACGAGTCGTGTTATCAACCGTGCGAAGTAACAGAGTCCGTGGGTAGGACTGCTGGATCTCCCAGAGCTCCGTAACGCGGCTCATCTTAAGAGCCTGTTTACTGAGCGTGACCGCCGCCAGGCACAGTGCCAAGAACTTCGCAGTCGTCGGCTTATTTAATCCCCATCATCTCCTCACCATGCCATCCCTACACCTGCTCGGAGAGAAGGAAAACGAAGCTGACAGAAGTGAAGGAATGTGTCCCAGCTCACAGCTGGAGGAAGGCAGCGCCAGATGTGAAATCCAGGCTGTGAGACTCCAGAGGCGCCCATCACAGACACTGCCGCTCAGGGACTCAGGGCTCCCAGATGGCGATGTCGGCAAGCTGGGCCTTTGGGGGATCACACACTCAACTCCCTGGAATGCTCCAATCTACAACTGCCCCACAGTGAACCCTATTTTAGATGAATTATTTTATAATGATGTTCTAGCACATTTGTTCATAATAAAAAATAAAATCAACATCAAGAAAATGTAAACTTATTAGTTATAGAACCATTGTTCAGGGGTGCCTGGGTGGCACACTAGGTTGAGCGTCCGACTCTCGATTTCGGCTTAAGTCATGATTCTCAGGGTCGTGGGATCGAGCCCCGCGTCGGGCTCCAGCTCTGCACTGGGTGTAAGATTTTCTCTGCCCGGGACGCCTGGGTGGCTCAGTTGGTTAAGCAGCTGCCTTTGGCTCAGGTCATGATCCCAGCGTCCTGGGATTGAGTCCCACATCGGGCTCCTTGCTCGGCAGGGAGCCTGCTTCTCTCTCTGCTTGCCTGTGCTCGCTTTCTCGCTCTCCCTCCGACAGATAAATAAATAAAATCTTAAAAAAAAAAAAAAAATTCTCTCTGCCCCTGCCCCCTGCTGCACACGTTCCCTCTCTTAAAAACAAACAAACAAACAAAAAACTGTTGTTCAATTTCTGAATGTCTCACATTAAGAAAATCTTACACTAAGAAATACATTTCGTATCTGGATTCAACCACCAGAAGTAAAGACCTAAAATTTTTTTACAAAAACAGTATTTATCCTTTATGTGTACAAGACACTGTTATTTTCTGTTTCATCATATTGCATTCACACAGATGTCAGTTAAGTTCTAGTGAACTGATTCCATGATCCACTGAGGACTGCAACCTGCAAGCTGAAAAACACCAGGATACACTAAACTACTTGCTAAACTTAGTAATATTTTAGTAAAATTAAAAATGTAAAAGAAAACAAACTACATTTTAATTACAGACGTGACATTTTCATATTAAAAATGAGTCTAGATCTGGTATTTACTGAGCACTGAGCTGGAATCAAACTTTGTACAGATGACTGAACACATAGTTAGACTTCAAATATTTGGCAAGTCCGTCCTCATTTTACAAACAAGAAAATGTGCCCAGGCTTTATCTTTAAAGGTAAAAACTTTCAGTAGATGTCATGATTATAGCCTTTCAGATGACAGTAAATTTTGCTGTCCACACAGGAAAACACACACTACAGGGCTGAGATCTGCCACTGTGTTGTAAAGCAAGAGAAACCCGAGCCGCTCTCCCGGATGGCTCCCCAAAACAGTTCTTTGTTTTCTTTTCGGCACTGCAAGATTTTGTCCATCGGTAAATTCAGTAATTGATGAACCCTAAAACTGTAATATACATACTTTGGGGACATTTCGGTGGATGGGAAGAAGAGGCAAGGGTTGGGGGCAGATAATGAATTCTGGAAAGTTATGGTAAGCTCTTGTTAACTGGGAGTGATGGAAAGCAGGATTTCGGACAACCCCAAATCAAGTAGGTCATTAAACTATGGTATAAAATGAATTTAACATAAACTTAAAATTCTAAAAATCTTATGCTACAAGACTCTTAAAATCTTGTATCACCTAGAGCTGCGCTATCCCATACAGCAGTCATGAGCTACAGATGGCAACGGAGTCCCTGAATGTGGCTAGTCTGAACTGAGCTATGTTACCAGCATAAAAGAACACCAGATTCTGATGATTAAGCAGGGGGAAAAAAGAATGTAAAAACATCTCATTTGTAAATAAAAATACATATGTATATAGATTACCTGTTGAACTATTCTATTTTTTATTATTTTTAAAAATTTATTCATTTATTCCAGATAGAGCAAGAGTGGGGGAAAGGGCAGAGGGAGAGGGAGAAGAATCTCAAGCAGACTCCCAGCTGAGTGCAGAGCCCAGCGTGGGGCTCGATCTAATGACCCTGAGACCATGACCTGAGCTGAAATCAGGAGTCAGATGTTTAACTGACTAAGCCACCTAGGTGCCCTGAAATTATATTTTAAAATGTACTAGGGTAAATAAAATATACTGTAAAAATTAATTTCACCTCTCTAAGTTTTTAGAAAGTTTAAAATTAAAAACATGGCACACATTATAATTCCACTGGACAGCACTAATTGAGAAGAATAAAATTTTCATAACAAAAGCTTTTGAAAAGGCATCCACTATTGCATTTAGTAGCTCAGCTCTCCTTTTCCTCCACAGTGGAAGCAGATTGAAGTTGAGCAGAGAAATTTCCCTTCTCTTTCCCCAACACCTCTCCCTCTAAAAACCCACCTGAGACCCAGAGGCTGCAGGAGGCAGAGCCAAGGCCACGGCCTCCCTATCAGGCCACACATCTGATTGTCAGGCTGTCCTAGTCTTTTGGCTACAGACACCATGTGACAGAAAAGTTACTCTATGGTTCCAAACAATACCTTTCTTCATTGATTTGTGGTCATGTATAAAATTTTCTTAAAACAAAAACGTTAACTTTTTTTGTTATAGTTTATCTGGATATAGGTTATCTGCCACTGATAGAAACATTTTTTTTAAATTTTATTTATTTATTTATTTATTTATTTGACAGAGAGATAGAGCCAAAGAGCACAAGGAGGGAAATGGCAGAGGGAGAGGGAGAAGGAGACTCCTCTGCTGAGCAGGGAGCCCCATGCCCTAAGGCAGATGCTTAAGTGACTGAGCCATCCAGGCACCCCGATAAAAACATTTTTAGTGTAATGCTCTTTTACATCAAATAGAGCAAGGTCATCCTTTTATAAACTACTATAATTTTTCTAATAGACACTTAGATATGTTCACCCAAAAAGAAGCACTCAAAACCCTAAAGAAACTTTTCCATACATTTTTGTGCTATTTACCTCAATGGCAACACTGGTTTCCTTATTTTTAAAAAGCTGGAGTTCTTCTAAACGCTGCTTTTCTTCAGCTGTCAAAACCGTAAATACATCTTCTGAAGGATCCTTGAAAATAATGATGAAACTCCCAGTGAGTCAAACACAGAATTTAAAGCTGTTAGAGATCTGTATTTCCAGGATCTCCAGGAAATGCTATTTTATACAGAAGGTGACTTCTGCTGGAGAGCTGCTCTTACCTCCTCATCCACCGGGACGGACAAGTCATCCAAATGGCTGATCCGTCCATCTTTTCCTATTTCATGAACAACGAAGTCGGAGTACCTAATGAAAAGGAAACACAAATTTTCAAAGCATTAACATTTTGCTTCCTAGTAATTTTAGGAGAAAATTTATTAACATTAAGCCTTGTTGTTGTACAAAACAGGGATTTAAAAAACAATCTTCAGTACAAAATTCACATGGAGTTATTTCTTCTGGTTTCTTAATGAATTCTAAGCCATGGCTTGGCTTTGTATTGGAATGTAAAGGCCCTCTGAACTTCTAGAATATTCTTTCAGAGAAATGCATAAATCAAAGCATAGGAATGTTACAGAGACAGTCCATACTAAAGTGAATCCTAAAATATGGGACGGTTAATTAAATCGGAACCCTGTGAGTCTACCATGAACCAACCTGAAGCTTACTTTTATGCAAAATACTCTACACACATTACTTAAAATCCTCTCAAAAACCCCAAGGTGGTATTAGGACCCATTTTCTGGAAAAGGCTACTGAGGCTCTGAGTTAAGTAAACGCAGTGACCGGACCAGATTCACACCCAGATCCACCTGCTTTCTACTGTAGACATGGCACATTTAGGTGAAAGAGCTGAGTTTAAGATTTGAAAACCAATTCAAGAGAAAACTTAAGACCATTTACAATAATGTATTTTAAAGAAGTAAACAGCACACATTCACATATGAGCAAGGCATGCCACAAAAATTATTTTTATTTACTCATTTCATCTTTAAATGGCTTCATCTGCCTATTTAGGCAGCTCTTCTCCATCCCATTCTGTAAGGACCTATTTTATATTTTTATTTTAGCCAGAGGCTTCCACTGAGGTTAAACAATAACTTTGTTGTTTAACCCTTAAACTGTCCCTGCTCCCCTTCCCCCAGGGGACTTAAAAACAAGTCCCGGAGACCAGCTCCAGGTGTGGAGGCCAAGAAAAACAAGGCTGTACCCACCTCGAGTCTAGCCCTGACATAAGTACAGCCATCTTGGCAGAGCAAAAGCTGGCACCTTGCCCTGTAAGAGTGGGTTAGCATAAGAATGGCCATCCTGGGGCGCCTGGGTGGCTCAGTGGGTTAAAGCCTCTGCCTTCGGCTCAGGTCATGATCCCAGAGTCCTGGGATCGAGCCCCGCATCGGGCTCTCTGCTCAGCAGGGAGCCTCCTTCCTCCTCTCTCTCTCTGCCTGCCTCTCTGCCTACTTGTGATCTCTGTCTGTCAAATAAATAAATAAAATCTTTAAAAAAAAAAAAAAAAAAAAAAAAAAAGAATGGCCATCCTGACGGCCGGGAAGCCATTTTACTGAGCGTCCCTAATCAGCCCACACACGCGCAGGTAACTTGAGATAAGAGAAAGTAGCTAAAACCTGAAAAAACAACTTAATCATATACCACCAGGGCGGTTAGGTGGTGGCACCACAGGGATCAAATGTTGAAGAAAAACAAATAGTTAACTTGCAGAGATCACATTCCTGCAAGACAGGAGTCTCCCTTGGTTTGCAAATGTCCTGGTAATTTACAACAAAAAGGGCTATCTCTTCAATGGCCCAATTTCCAGAGACAAATGGCTCAGTTCCTCAAGGCCTAAGGTCGCCCCATAAAACTGAAGGAGGCTGAGGCAGAAGGAAATGTAAATAAAGTTAAATTTCTTCTAAACCTAAATCACACTTAACCGCCTGGACAGCTCCAGGGTGATGCCAGGGTGGCAAAAGGTTAAACTAAGTTAAACTGTCAAAGTGGGGCACAAGATATGTCTGTAGCTGTGAAAAAGTGCCTTGAAAATGCTATATAAACCCTTGGCTTTGAGTGCTCCGGGTCCTGGTTGAAACCCGCTGTGCTGGGCGGATACTCGGACCCCAGCTAGCTGGAAATAAACCTCGCTGTGTGACTTGCATTATCGAGAGTGTTCTCTGTCTAGTTGAGGGGTGGTCAACTCCGTACCCTAACAATTCCTTTGTGACCATCAGTAAACAATCCTTGGGGATAGAAAGCTAAATAGAAGAATAAACAGAGGGCGCCTGGGTGGTTTAGTCATTAGGCGTCTGCCTTTGGCTCAGGTCATGATCCCAGAGTCCTGTGATCAAGTCCCCCATCAGGCTCCTTGCTCAGCAGGAAGCCTGCTTCTCCCTCTCCCACTCCTCCTGCTTGTGTTCCCTCTCTCGCTGTGTCTCTCTGTCAATTAAATAAATAAAATCTTTAAAAAAAAAAAACAAAGAGGAAAAGAAAGAAATAGAAGAGCCCTTTGCTGATTTCTTCCTCAAGAAAAGAACAAACAGGATGAAAATAACCTGACACCTAAATAAAAACATACCTTTCTTTCAAGATGCCTGAAAATCCCTGATGAGAACTTACAAACTTGGTGATGCCAACGTCAAGTTCAGTGAGGCCGTGCTTCATCATGTCTGCAAAACTCTCAGCTTCCTCCTCCTCCTCACCCTCCTCTGAAAGGCCATCTTCTTCCTCCTCTTCCTCTTCCTCCACCTGCACATCAGAATTCTTTCTACCTTCTCCCGCACTTACAGCTGCAGGCGGTCCAGGCACATCTACACTGCTGGGAGGAGAGACATGCTCCAGCCCATCCTGACCTGTGGTTAGACCGCCATCCAAGACCTTCTGTCTCTTTGCCTCCTCCGATGGGGCCACACAGTCATTATCTTCGACAGCATGAGACCCACGTTTCAGCGACACACCAGTCACTTCTGTCATCTCCATTTTTAAGGCTCCAAGAAAACATTTAAGAGAACCTTTTGGGAAGGAAGAGAGAGCAGGAAGTAACAATCACTTCTGTTAAGAGGTGTTAAGGGGTGAGTTTCAGCAAACAAAGGCACAATTAACTTTGCTCCTAGGGTCCGAAAACTCATTTATTACAATAATTCTTCCTGATGCTGGAACAGAAAAATGGCACAACACTTCTGCACAGAATTTGAGTGTGTTTCATAAACCTTAAAAAAATGTATGTTCTTTGACCCAGAAATACTACTTTCAGGGAGTATCTTAAAATAACTGAAGTGCTTAAATTTTTTTGCTAAGTGTTTCAAGTTCAGCTATAAGGATACTCATCTCAGTGCTTTCATATTAGCAAAAAACTAAGAACAATGATGCCTGGGTACATAAACTAAACAATAAGTCGAAACAGTGTGAATAGAAACTGGGAAAGGTGGTTACTTCTAGGGCAGGGTATGGGTGGCTGGACTGTTTTTACTGAAAACCGCAGTCAGGCCACTTGAACTTTGTTTCACGAAGATTATTATCCTTTCAAAAAACTGATTAAACAAAAATAGTGCATACACTTACTGACATGAATGCATACTCGTACCATATTAAAAATAAAAAGCAAAGGGGATGTAGAGTTGCTTACTGGGTACAGAGTTTCAGTTTTGCAAGATTAGAAAAAGCTCTGCATACTGGTTGCACAACAGTGTGAATGTGTGTAACACTGCTGAACTGTATGCTTCAAAATGGATAAGATGGGGCACATGGGTGGCTCAGCCAGTTAAGGGTCTGCCTTCGGCTCAGGTCAGGATCCCTGGGTGCTGGGATCCAACCCTGTGCTGGGCTCCCTGCTCAGCGGGGAGTCTTGCCTCTCCCTCTGCCCCTCCCCCCACTTATGATCACTCTCAATTAAACAAATAAAATCTTATTAAAAAAATGAATAAACTGGGTTGCCTGGGTGGCTCAGTGGCTTAAAGCCTCTGCCTTCGGCTCAGGTCATGATGAGCTGGGATCCAACCGCGAGCATCAGGCTCTCTGCTCAGCAGGGAGCCTGTTTCCCTCTCTCTCTCTGCCTGCCTGCCTACTTGTGATCTCTGTCAAAAAAAATTAAAAAATAAAAAATAAAAATAAATGAATAAACTAATGTTACATGTTATGTGTATTTTGCCACAATTTAAACAACACAGATTATCATTTAACCAGCCCACACATAATGTAATGAAGGAAAGTCTAAGAAGCCATACATACTTCCCAGTACTGAGCAGCTTGCCAGAGGGGTAACATGTGGCAATCAAAATAAATACATTTATCTAATTTGATCTTACTTGGTACTCTTGGTGAAATAAAGATAAAAGTTTTCCTGTGTTAATTATATAGGGAGATGATAAAATTAACATGCTACAAACTTAGTAAACAAATTCATAAATATAAATCAGCAGAAAATTAATATTTGAAGGTTCTCCAAGGCCTAGTTAATAAGAAACCCAACTACAGAAGCATCTACAGCAGAATAACAACAATGAACTGAAGTTTAAGAATCCACATTTGCAGGGTGCCCGGCTGACTCAGCTGGAGGAACACGCAACTCTTGATCTCAGAGTCATGAATTTGAGCCCCATGCTGGATGTAGAGATTACATAAATAAACAAATATTAAAAAAAAAAAAAGAATCCACATTTGATATTGCTTCATTGTCAAAAATCTAGAATGGAAAGAAAAGTAAAGTTAAACAAACACACACACAAAATGAAAAGAGGATGATGATGACTACAAAAAAAAATGGAAGAAGAGGTACAGAAAGATACGAATAAAATCAATTTCCTTTGAAAGACAAAAATTTAAGTAAAGAAAATGGAAGAAACTAAGAAACTGGAACAGAAGTCGCCTATACAAAATCACCTCTAATTCAAAGAAAGTATTTACTCCTTATTTGTTCTAAACAAACTATAATAAAAAAAAGAATATGCATTCATGAAATGCTGATGCTAACTCATGCTCACGTTGTCACCAAAGCTGCCCTCACAGAACCTACAGGCCAGCAAGGAAGACAAAGAGGGCACAGGGGGTCACTCGGGGACTAGGGGAACACACAGAAGATCTCAGAGGGCACTGATGGGCAGGGTGTCAGAGAAGACCCCTCTCCTAATGCAAGACCAGAAATGAACACCTGAGCCAAGTTTTGAGGACAGGGTAAGGTCACAGAAAGCAGGAAGGAGGCTGTTTGCTGGGGTGGGGGGGTGGTGGGTGGTAGCAGGTGCAGAGACAAGGAGGCATGGGAGAGCAAGGAGCACGGGAAGAGGCCCAAGGAGCTCATCATGGAGAGTAAAACACACAGTGAGAGAGTCTGGAGCTAAAGCTGGGGAGTGGGCAGATGCCACACCAGGCAGAATGCAGGGAATTCCATCTTGAAAACCAAACCACCGCTAGACTTTTGAGTTCGAAAGATTTTGCGGCACCTCTTTGAAGAGAAACCAGGGTTAGCTGGAAGACTAGGTAAGAGACTATAGCCAGGGACGTCTGGGTGGCTTAGTGGGTTAAAGCCTCTGCCTTCGGCTCAGGTCATGATCCCAGAGTCCTGGGATCAAGCCCCGCAACAGGCTCTCTGCTCAGGAGGGAGCCTGCTTCCTCCTCTCCCTCTGCCTGCTTCTCTGACCATTTGTGATCTCTCTGTCTGTCAAATAAATAAATTTGTCTGTCTGTCAAATAAATAAATAAAATCTTTAAAAAATAAATAAATGAATGAATGAAAGAAAGAAAAGAGGCTACAGCCAAGGGGCACCTGCCTGGCTCAGTGGGAAGAGATTGTGACTCTTGATCTCCAACTTGTGAGTCTGAGCCCCACATTGGGTGTAGAGATTACTAAATAAAAAATAAATAAAACTTAAAAAAAAAAAGAAAAGAGGGTATAACCGAAATTGAGCCAAGAAATTAGTACAATGTGATCTAAAGCTAAGGCAAGGGCGACAGAAAAGAAGTTTGGATTCCAGGACATTTAGGAGGTGATGGGAACAAGACTGGATGACAAATGTGGGCAGAGAGGAAACACTCCAGGATGACTCAGGTTTTCTGCCTTAGGGACCTGAGAAGACAGGGGAGCTCTTCCTGGCACGAAAACCCCAGGCAGAGGAGCAGGTGGTGGGAAAAGACAAGCCCACTTACAGTCCTGTGGTGTCACAGGTACCTTGAAACATCTGGGAGCCAGGCACCCCCAAACCTGTGACAGCCTCCCAGTGAGGGTACAAAGCCCTAGCGGGTGTGCCAGGATCCACGGGGAGATCCCCAGACCTTCCCAGGCCCGAGCTCTCAGCGGGGAGGAAGCGCAGCCTCAGCAGCCTGGCTTGAGTAGGCAGGATGTCTACCTCCTTCCCAAAACACCCAGGATTCATCAAGCTCCTTCTCCACAACTGACAGTCAGAAGCCCTGGTGGGAATGTCAGTTACAGCCTCTGCAGAAATGTCCAACCGTCCTGCGTCGGCCCCGCCCATCATCTAGTGACCACTGTTCCCCACAGGCCTCCAACAACTCACGCCCTGCCCCGGGGGTGCCTGTTTCCTGCCTGACTGCTCATAAGCTCTCCCCAGATATTTTGTAGACTTCTTGCAACAGGTGCTGAAACTGTTCCTCACCTACAGAGATCAAAGACACACTAAATAGCAAATCTCTAAGGAAACAGTGGGCCTGGACAACCAGCCAACATGAACGGCCACTAACGTCACAACAAACAGACAACCAAACACACCGCAAGCCCCTGAAAGCACGTGCTATCATCTGTATTCTTTTTTTTTTTTTTAAAGATTTTATTTCTTTATTTGTCAGAAAGAGAGAGAGAGAGAGAGCACAGGCAGACAGAGTGGCAGGCAGAGGCAGAGGGAGAAGCAGGCTCCCCAAAGAACAAGGAGCCTGATGTGGGACTCGATCCCAGGACGCTGGGATCATGACCTGAGCCGAAGGCAGGCGTCCCGTATTCTTTTTTTTTTTTTTTTAATCTTATTTACTTATTTATTTGACAGAAAGAGGCAACCAGAGCAGGAACACAAGCGGGAAGTGGGGGAGGGAGAAGCAGGCTTCCCACTGAGCAGGGACACCGATGTGGGGCTCCACCCCAGGACCCCGGATCATGACCTGAGCAGAAGGCAGATGCTTAACGACTGAGCCACCCAGGCACCCCTCTGTGAAACATTCTTACTGACTGGAACTCGATGTCTAATTGGTAGGTTAGATGGCATACATAGACAGAAGGTTTTAAACTCCACCACAGGGAGGAACCGGCAAAATTCTGAATGTGGAAAACTCTACAAGAAAGACAGTTCCTTCACTAATAAACAACAAAGGGGAAAAAAGGGAGGGGAACTTAACAGATAAACTTAAAAAGAAATGCAATGAGTGGATTCTTCTTTAAATAAGTCAACTATTTAAAAAACTGTTTAGGACAATCAGGGATGCAGAAATACTGGGGATATTTGATGACATTATGGTAGTATTATCAATTTTTTTTTTTTTTTTTTTTAAAGAGAGAGCATGTGTATGTGAGAGTTTGCAGAGGAAGAAGGACAGAGAGACTCTCAAGCAGACTCCTCGCCCATGTGGAGCCCTACATAGGTCTCTACCCCAAGACCCTAAAATCATGACCTGAGCCAAAATCAAGAGTCAGACAAGAGTTTGACGCTTTCACTGACTAAGCCACCCACGGGCCCCAGTACTGTCAACTTTTTAAGGTACAATTATGTTACTGTGGTTACATTTAAAAATAGAATTCTTATGTTTTAAAGATACAAAGTGAAATATTTATGGTTGAAAATGACGAAGTCTGGAATTTGCTTCAGGATAATTTACCAGTGATGAATGGAAGTGGAAAAGGTATAGATTTGAAACCACGTAGGTAATTACTGAAACTAAGTGATGGTAACAACACATCTTCTACTTTGAGCTTTTGTTTTTCTTACAAGAAATTTCAAACCTACAAAGTAGAAAGAGATACACAAGCTATTCTGTTCCAATCAAACCACTGATGTTTTCCCTTCTTCTGTCCCAC